GTGGTGTTTCTATTCAAGGCAGCAGCAGCACAGATAGCCCACTTCTAATTTAGAAACCTATTTACTTAAATGATGGTGCCCCCTCAGTTTTGGTTAAGAAGAAACACAAGTTGAAAGAAAGTCAAGACAGGTTGGCAAAAATGTGAACTAGTCAATTACCCTCCATTCCCTTTAACACCTCACCTCTTTCATTGTTTAGGCTTCCCTTTTTTTTTTTATATTTTCTCCAGGAATATTTGAGAACTCAGTACTGAGCATGCACATTTATGATACTAAGATAGGTATTTGTTGAAAATAGTTAACCTTCCCTAACTTTTACCCTACCCATCCATGGTGTGAAGGAGACCAGACTCTGAGGGAGAGGTTGAAAGTTCTCCCCCCTCTTGTCGTTTCCTGCTTAACACAGAATCTCCTCAGAACAGGTAGCCCCTTCTCAGGCTTCAGTCACTTTCATTACTATTGCCATTTTCTTCTTCCTTCTTAGCCATCCTGACTCAGCATTATGACAGAGTATTTTGGGGTGTACAATATAAAAATCTTTGCAAACCCCAAGGAAACTAGGATGCCTGCATACATGAGAAGTCTATCCTTATCCCTCTCCAGCTGCCCTCGTCAACTTTTTGTTCTCTTCCCAGTTGCTGATTGGGGTCTCTCATATTGAGCTTATAGAACATTTCAAGCCACACTGTCATAATTGCTTGGAGGGGAAAAAACGGTGAAAGCGTTCTGCTCCTTCTACTTTCTCCTCTCACAAAGGAAATGGATATTAGGGATGTTTGAAAAATTAGTGGTTAGTTCCCTGTTAAAAAGACAGGGAGAAGTCCAAAGTCAATATTCTTTATAAATCAATTCACATCACAAATTGCAGGATTCATAAGAAAAATAGAAACTCATGGAATCCTGGTTTAATTTTCTTGCCTACATTTACACACTAAGTGGCAGGACTAGATCTAGAACCCCAAAATGCTTGGATCCAGAATTGATGGCTTTTCTACCAAGCATGAAGCTTTTTGTTATCTTTGAACTGGAGACAATCCCCCTGCCCTCAATCCACAGGAAAACTATTAAATAGAGTGTGGGTGAAGCTGCAGGCCCTCTTAGAATCAGCAGCTGAACTTCTGAATCAGCCCAACCTTTTGCCAAACCACAGCTCTGAAACTGAGGAAAGAGAAGAAAGGTAGATGAAATACAAGCCTCTTTCTGGTAGGACAGTGTAGTGTGTGGGAACATACTTGGATTTGGAATGAAAAGTCTGCATTGTATGTCAATTTTAATTTTAAAAAGTTATTAAAAAAAAAAAAAAAGATCTGGATTTGAATCCTGACTTGGCCATCATGTGAGTCAGCTGAGGGTATTACTGGAAATCTGAGTATAAGATGAAGAATTGAGGATCGTGTGATCTAACTTACCTTCTGTGCAGGCTATTGTGAGAATTCAAATATACATATAGTAAACTTGAGCATAGTTCAATTATTTGGCATGTGAGTCAATAACCACTTAGGATGATAGCCAGCATGAGGTAAATGCTCAATAAATGCTAGCTTTATTTAATATTCCAACATAGTTCTCAGTCTCCATTTTCAAACCATCCCTTTAACTCTTTTTTTTTTTTTCATCTTCTCTACTATTCTGTAGCTCCTTTCTCTATGAAGTGTTTATGAAAAAGAAATAAGATTTTAGATCTTCAAGAGATCTCTGATTTAGGTCCCAGATAGTGCAATTTTCTACTCAGGTAATCTATTGGCTCGTGGGTGGTGACAATTACTTAAAGGAGCATTCATTGAGGAAGTTAGGTTTCAAAAAGTCTTCAGAATGCGCACACACACACCAAAAACTCTACTAAGATTAAAAAAGACCTTTTATTTTTAGGTAATTAAATCAACCATTAAAATTTATTTGCAGGAGTCAACTATTTATTGTAATACACCAATGGTATTTAAAATCAGTGCAGTTTGTAAACAAAATGAATTATTTTTTTTTATAATAAAGTACTTATAATTTCAAATAAAAATTTTTTTCTGAAATCTTGAGATGAAAGTAGCTTGATTATTGTCTTCCACTGATATATATTTAAAGACATTCTCAAGACCAAATTTACGTAGCAATTTACACTCAAGGCTGATTAAACTATACTACTATATTTTATTTGATAGTTTCTCTGGCATATCTGCCCATCACTTTTCTACCTTCTATATATTAATGTCTGTTTTTATACATTGTGAAGGGACAGAGTATTCTCAGTAGGTAGCTCAAAGTGGTTCTGCAGTGGTGACAACAATGAGTTTTAAGTCTAATCGCTCTGTTACCAGAACTTTAGCTTTGTATGATCTGCTGTGAATTTCTCAATATGTGATATGAGGGACCCAGCATTACCATAAAAGCTTATCTCTGATTTAACAAATGTTTCAAAGCCCCTTGGAAAACATCCTGTCTTCCAATCGTTATTATGCAAAGTTTAGAAAAAGGCAAACACCTTTGACTATGTGTTATTTACTCCTATTTACTTATGGGTCATCTGCATAGCCCCTATGATCCCCAGTTTTTATGGCAGAAAGTGCACTCTAGAAAAATGTTCTGCTAATTGCAGTCAATTTGACACACTGACATGGCAGCAAACTGGTATTTATTCCAAAACACTCACCGATCTGCCACTGCACAAAAGGCTGAGGTGTCAGCAGTGGAGGCTGATTGATAAAGTTAATGCAGAGGTCCTGGATTATAGGGAACTGTTGTATAACAGCATCACATACTGCAATGTTGTGTGAATCCTTGCTATAACGGAACCATATTTGCAAACCAGTGGACAGCGGCCACAGGAACAGAGGTGGGAAAGGTGTCTTCGACATGAATAGTTGGACGGTACTCCTCATTTGTATTCATCCATAAAGCTCATACCATCTCATCACTGCTGTCCTCAGGCAGTGAGCAGGTCTGAGACTGTCCTAAAAACTCACCCACTCTCACTTAAAATCCCTCACTCTCCGCCATCCCTGAAACAGCCAATGACGGAGCATGATGGCCACTACTTGCACTGTGCCTTCCCCTTCCTCTCCGGACCCTGTCCAGCAGCAGCCAGTGGCTTTCCCTGGCTGCTGGAGGCCTCCATCCACCTGCTCTTTGCAGCAAACACCAAAGGGAGCAGTAGCAAACCTGTAAATCCTGACCAGCAGAGAAGGTGCCCAGAACAAGTGGTAGAGGCTTCAACCAGTGAGGACAGACGGACTGACAACCAGACAGACAGACAGCACCATCAGACACCATCCACTACTCCCAGCCTCAGGAGAGGGGCAGCCTGCCGCACCAAGGACATCGTGGCTCTCGATGGGGACGGGCAGCAGATGAAGGAGCAGGCTTAAAGTATGTGGGGTTAGTTTTTGGATGAGAAGGAGCAGGGAATTCAGAAACCTGCTGCTCTGGATAGAAGCAGGCCAGCTCTGGCCTTCCAAGTTAATGGCCTTTTCTGAGTCTACAATGGAAAGGGCAGTGATGACTGGATGTCTACACTTTTGCGGTGACACGGCACCCACAGCTCTCCCACGATAGTCCCCTCTCCCATCTGGGTGGCGGTGACACTGGCGGGGACCCATCTGCCTGTGAACGCAGCCTCCCTCCATCCCTGTCCTGGGAGGCACTGCTGCACGGAGGGGAAGCGGAAGAAACCTTTGGTGGCAGCATCTTCTCTCCAGGAGGCAATCCTAGGGGGTGAGGAGAGCCACGCTGGGTGTGCTCCACGCCTGGCTCCCACCCCTCTTCCCTTCTTGCCTGCCTCTTCTTGGCTGTTCAGCTAACTCAAGACGCAACAGGTTCCCTTTGGCTCCTCGTGCCAATCCTGTGCCCCCAGATACACTCCTGTCCCTGGCAGGGTTTCTAAATCCCCTCACCCCTGAGGTGAAAGCTTTCCTGAACGCATGAAGACCTGCCAAGGGAGGGCAGGGTGGAAGTCCCCTTCGGCCCCACGCTAGGTGTGATGCTAAGGAGCAGCAAAACCGACTCCGGGTGCCGGGACCTTGTCAGAGCACAGTGTCACACACACTCCTGCATCACCAGCCACGGGCCTGTCCCCTTCCCAGGCACCAGGCACTGGATAGGGATCCCTTGAGGGGCTGATGGGCTTTCCAGAAGGGGAGATGTAGGCACATACCCAATCCCCTATGGCACTGCTTGCACCAGGATCTGAGCAGGCCCCGGAGGTCTTTTGGAAACCAGTAAAGAGGAACCTCTATTTTATGCACACCAGACTCCCTCCCCGCCGGCTTCTCCCATGATAACAAACTTTGCATTGCCGATGGCTTCACATAGATGTAAGAAAATGGGACTGCACACAGGTATTTTGTGTCAAAGGCTGTGCAGAGAAGGTTAAAGAGAGTCTGGGGAGGCAGGTTCCCAAAGATGGCAACTGCCGCCCCCAATAAAGACCCAGCCTTGATGTGCGATTTGAACGAGTACCAAAATGAACACTAAAAATAAGCATCCCCCCCCTCCCCACCGTCTGTAAATACTGACACCCTTCAGTGGGGTAACCCAGCCTGCTCAACAACTCCACGAAGAGCAGAGGAGCTATTCTCAGCACCGCCTCCTCCCACCTCCCCTTTCCTTCCACTCACCCCCTGCCCCCTATCCTGCTCCCAACCCAGGGCCCTTCCACTTGGGTGGGATCAGCCCTTCTCAGCTTCCGCACATCCCAGCCCCAGCCAGGGTGGTCGCTGTCCACCCAGCCCTCCTCTGCACCCCGGTCTCCAGCCACCCTCTCCTGGCTCCTGGGCTCTGGGGCTCGGTGACATCCTCTCCTTCCCCCCTGGACTCTCCTAACCTCTCCCCTGGTCCAGCCCAGAGCCCCCTGGCCCCAAGGAGGGCGCCTCCGCCCGCACCCAGCACCCTCGCCCGGCCCCCTCCCCCACACCCAGCCCAGAGGGTTGGGTGGGTGAGTGAGTGGTGAATGGACTGAGGGAGGCACGGAGGCTCGGGGCGGCGTGGCTGGGGAGGGAGGGGGGGTAGCTTACTTGAGCATGGCTTCTTCTTTTTCCTCCTCTTCCTTCTGCCGGTCCATCACTGCCATGATAATGTTCCTCTCCTCCTCGGTCAGGTGGCTCAGGTCGGGCAGCTCTTGCATCGGGGGAGGCACGGTGGGTGGGCGAGCACCGCGGGGCCCCACGGCCGAGGACATGGTCGTGGCCTGCCCGCCCCCTCCTCCTCCTCCTCCTCGGGCTCGGGGCTCTCACCTTTCGGATGCAGGATGCTCGCCCTGCGGCGCCCCCGCCTCCCTTCCTCCCCTTCCCTTCCCTTCACAGCGGAGCCCTCCGGGCGGCGGCAGCAGCGGAGCCGGGGAGGCAGCGAGCCCAGGCTCTCATGGCTGTTTGCATCCACCCAGCCCCGGATGCTGCCTTTGTGTGGGGCGCCCTGGCGGGGCTCGGGCTGCCCGGCCGCCTGCCTCCCGCTGCCCAGCCTCGGCCGCGGGGGCGGCAGGCAGGGGGCGCGGGCTCGGCGATCAGGGCGGTGTGCGGGGCGGGGGCGGGGCCGCGGCTGCCGCTGCTGCTGCTGAGGCTGCTCCCAGCTCCGCTGCCTCCAGTTCGGGGCGCCGGGAGGGAGAGTTCGGGTGTCCGTTAGGCGGAGTCTCGGAGGCTCTGCGCCCGGGTGATGCTGCTGCTGCTGCTCTCGCAGCCGCGGCTGCCAGTCGCTCAGTCCCGGAGCCGCTCCGCCCACGGGCACCCACCCGCCCGCCCACTGCCCGGGTCCGAGCCGCGGAGCCCCGGCCGCTCCCCCCGCCTCCCTCCCGCCCCTCGCCCCACCACGCGCTCACACCAGCCACCGTGCGCCCCACCTCACTCTCTCTCCCCAGGTACCCCTCGCCCGTGAGTCATCCTCCCTTCCCCGTCTCTGGTCTATGTCATCCTCTCGCCAGCCCTGTTGGTTCCTGGGTTGCGTTAATCATCCTCATCCTCGCTACCATCCTCCTCCTCGTGGAGATTCAGAGGATTGGCGCACCCACTGTGTTCTGGGCAGCTGGATAGAACGCCTCTGGGTGCATTTCCCCCATTCCCTGAGACCATATCCTTCTCATGATTAGTCCAGTGTCTATAGCCACAACAATGTGATTTTTAAAAATAATTTATATGTGTACACACCTCCACCAGCCTGGATTTTTCTGAGTGCACTGAATGCAGTAGCTTTCTCGACCCATCCTGGGTAGGTTCCGCAATTTATCCTAACCCCCCACCCCACCCCCCGCAACTCGGCAACTCTTTAATTTGTCATTTGGGGCTGTAGGTAGTCCTTTCACACCACTTCTCTGGTGCTTGCAAATGAATTGCCTACTCTGGTTTCTCATGATGCTCACTCTCCTCATGGACTCACTTCTTAGCCTCTCTGGGTGCTTCTCCAGGAACACGGATCTCAGATAAGAAAAACACCCCACCTAGCACATGGTGAGAAGCTGCTGCTCAGTGCCTGGCCCAATGATAGGCATTAACATGAGCTCCTCTTGCTGATAAAGGCAAAAACGGACAATGTTATCAGTTTTGAAAACCAAAGATTAAATTTTCCTGAAATACCTATGGAGAAGGATTCAAATTGTACGACAATTTAAAAAAATCAATAGTGATGAGGGAATTGGGGAATTGGTATGCTCCCCGCCTGGGGAATTCCTTTTATAGTTCCAGGAAGAATCTAGCACTAATCTTTTCTTTTTCCTCTAAGCCTAATTTTGTTAATAAAGAAGAAGATGATGATATTTATGAATCCTAAAACTCCTAAAATCTTCAAGTTTAGGGAATTTAAGGTTTTAACCACTGGATCTCCCATTGAATACAGGTGTTGATTCTATTTGGAGACATCTGTTTGAATACTTTCAGCAATAGAAGGTTTACATCTTAAGTCTATTCCTATGTCTAAATCCTTCTCCCTAAAAAATTTTCAACTGTTTGAAGTGTTTGTCATGTCATCTTCAATTTCCTCCAGAGTAAACCTTCCCAATTCATCTTACCGGTAATAGTGTAGAATGATTTCAATGCTGGTATTCACCAGCCTTTGCACCCACTTGTGTTTTTTCACCAGCCTTCCAAAGCAGTGAAATCAAGAATACATGTAAAGAACCAAAAACTGGGTGTTGGCATTTACCAGTGCTTTATAATCATTTTTATTTGCACAACTTAACATTGGCTTAACTTTTTAGTAGCCATGTCAGTTACGAGGATATCCCTGAAATAAATACATAGACCACTATAATGTCCATTTCTTTTTCATAAGTTCTGCTGCCTGAAAAGATTTCTTCTTTCCTCTAATTAAGCAATTGATGAAATTATCTTAATCAGCATCTTTTCCTCATTTAAAAAAAAAAAGTACCTGTTTCTCTCAGATCAGTGTACTAGTATATTCCGGGAGACAGGGAGAGTAGTTTGAATTCTGGCTTTACCAGTGACTTTATGATCTTGGTGAAATCATTAATGCTTTCTGAATTTCTGTTTCCTCATCTGAAAAATGGGGTAAAGACATTAACCCCCCCCCCCCAAAAAAAAGAAATATTGAATAAGGAGACATATTTGGAGCATCTAACTACATTGTAACACTTTGTGGTACTCTTTTCCTTATTCCTTGCTCTTTCCAAGAAATGTATTAGGCCACCTCTCCATTATTAATGTTCAGAGGGGACTAGAAATGTAGATGATATAGTCTTTCTATCAGATCCCCTTCTCTGCTAGTCAGTCTAGATATGCAACAGACAAAGGCCTTGTCCTCAAGAGGTTTACAATCATGTTGGTTCTCCTGAAATTCCTCTAAAATAGAAACAAAGGAATAAATCCTTTGACAGACATTAGAACTAGCTGAATGAAGCTCTTAAGACAGGGGCCTAGTGCACATTTAACAGTGGTGCTTTCATTTGCTAGGGCTGATGTTACAAAATTCCACAGACTGGGTGGCTTAAACAACAGAAATTTATTTTATCACCATTCTGGAGACTAAAAATCCAAGATCAAAATGCTGGCAGAACTGATATTTTTCCCTGAGGCCCCACTCCTTGGTGTGTAGATGGCCAGGGTTTTTGTGTGTCCTCAAATGACCTTTTCTCTGTGCATGCCCTCCCTAGTACCTTCTATTTATAAGGGCATTATTCCTATTAAACTAGGGCTTCTCCCTTATCACCCCATTTAACTTTACCTCTTTAAAGGTATTACCCCCAAACACAGTCACACCCTATTGGGGCTTTAACATATGAATTTTTAAGGGGGCACAATTCAGTTCATTATAAGTGGCTTCCATTTATAAAATTTACTTTGGAAAAGCATCTGGATGACTTAATGAAAATTGGTCTTGTCCTGATCATCTTTATGTCCATAGCTACTTTCTAGGGCACCATAAGTGCATATGAAATCAGTGTGTGAATAAATGAAAAAAAAATAGTGAATGAATTGACCAATAAATTAGTAGTTACCATGGTGTAATCCATGAAAGTTTCCCCTTTGTTCAGGAGCTAATCTCATCCATTATGGAGGGGTTCAAAACAATTTCTAAAATCCAATAGACATATAAACTTTATACATATTAACTTTCACAAAAGCAAGACCTAATCTGAATTTAGATAAGCAATCAAACACCCAAAGTAGGTATACCAAAGCATGTGGCACATGTTAGCTCCTAGACTCTACAGAAAATTTTAAGTAAATCTAGAAAATTATGTATAATACCTCTCTCCTAGAAATTCATAAAGCCCCTTAACAAATAAAAAGTGTTAAAATGCAATTATTTACTTCAGTACTAAAATCTGTTTTTACTTGGTTTGGCCTGGCATTTACTGTGTTTGTTCTATAATAGAACTTCATTCTTTCCTAAAGAAGGAAATATGTTTTAGACAATCTTTGGGGAAAATTCTGACATACAAAACTGATATTCAAAGATGTTAACCAGAGAGATTGTAAAATTTCCAATGTGATTCTCTTCATTCAAACAACAGTATTTGTAGAAAAACATCTTAAATCTCTGTTAATAAGATATGAATGAGGTACGTTTTTTCAAATATATGTATTTTTATTTATATCAGAGAGGAAGAGAGAGGGAGAGAGAGAAACAACCAGAATTGAACCTTGACCTCCTGGTTCATAGGTCAACTCTCAAACTCTGAGCCACACCAGCCAGGCTGAGGTACCCTTAAAATCAACATTAACATCATGTTCAGGATCCTAGTCAAAAACAATGACTTGGACAAACTCCTTTAAAGTAAGTGTCTTGGCTATCTTCTCCACTGATACTATCAAACCATCATTTCTCAAAAAAACTATAAAATTGGACACCACTGTTTACTGTTAATTTACTAGCTGAGATTATCATTTCAGAGTGGAAAATCACTGAAATGGAGTCAAATTCAAATCTTTACCATTTAAAAGTTGTAGTTGGCTTAATCCTGTCTTCCCCCAAATTCATGTCCACTCAGTCTCAAAATGTGACCTTATTTGGAAATGGGCCTTTACTGATAACATTAGTTAAAATGAGATTATTTTGTATTAAGATGAGTCCTAAATCCGAAGACCACTGTCCTATGAGAGGAGAGAATGCTCAGACAGACATGCAGGGAAGGAGGCCATGTGAAGATACAGACACCCAGAGAAGAAGGCCATGTCAGAGAATGAAGTTATGGCACCAGGAATGCCAGGAGCCACCAGATGCTGGACGAGGGAAAGGCAAAATCTCCTCTAGAGACTTCAGAATAAGCATGGTCCTGCTAACACCTTGATTTTGGATTTGTAGCCTCCACACTGTGAGAGAAGAAATTTCTGTTGTTTGGGATATTCGTACAGTTTCTGGTACTTTGTTACCACAGCCCTAGGAAACAAATATAATAGTTCTGTGAGTTTGGGTGGATTGGTAAACCTCATAGAATTTTGCTCACCTGTAAAATGGAAATAACAACACACACCTTTCAGGATTTTGTTTTGTTTTAATCTTCACTAAAGGGCATTTTTTTTTTTTTCCCATTGAGTAGAAAGGAGGGTGGGAAGGAAGAGAGAGTGAGAGAGAAACATCAATGTGACACTATCAATTGGTTATCTACTGAAGAAGCCCCAGTAAGTGCCTTTGACTGGGAATGGAACCTGTGACCAATCTGAGGGCCGACGCTTTAACCACTGAGCCAAACCAGCCAGGACACCTTCCAGGGTTTTGGCAAGGATAAAAAAG